ATATATAGTCGCACAGTACTCTTGAAGTTTTTCCTTCACGACTGTCAAAATCTTAGTGAGAAGTAACGAAAGAGGCTTGGTTGAACATTTACTGGAACCTGCAATGTATCTTTGTTTGTAAGGATTCTTATAAAGTTTCGGAATCCAATATATATATAAGGTAGTTCAAATTCATTTTGGATCTGTGGAATATTAAAAGTATTCAAAACTGACAGGTGATTTTGAAGAATATCTTCCTTAGAAAGAGAAGTATGAGTATAAGTAGGATTACCACTTGTAGAATTGAATCCAAGTTCTTCTAGAATGCAATTTATATAATGAGCCTTACCAACGAAGACAATGTTGTTACCTGCTTTGTCGGCAGGAACCAGTACATACTGATCGTGTAATCTATCTAATTCTTTTTTCACTTCTGGTTTATTGAACATAGAAGGATAGATGGTTTTCATTTTGCCCCTCAATCTTTTAATACGTGACTTTAACATGGATCTGATACATTTAATCCATTCTGACAAGGTGTCAAGGTCTTCTTTTTCACATCTGGCCCATCTTCTGGCGTAATTTTCAACAGAATCCATAATACTTATGAAATTGGATGTTCCTTGGCCTTTTCAAGAAGACTATTTAAAAGTTTCAAAGGGACAGAGTAAAGTTTTGTTCGAATATGATGTACATAGAGCTAACTGTTGATTTACATAAGGTAGTAATGAATCAAAAGAGACGTCGTGTATTGCAGGTTTATTGTATGAGTATATAGCGAAGATATGACAATTAAACTGCACTGTAAAGCAAGAAAAGACTGCACAATATAAGTTCCGGAAAACAAAGGTTGTATCTACGTATACAGTTTCGTTGTTTTCCTGTATGTCAAGGTCAACCACTTTTATTTTTAGCTCAAACTTGTAAAGACCTTTCAAAAGGAAAATGCAAATGTGAGAAAAATGCTCTAACAACTTTTTTTCTTCAAAATTTTGGGTTTCCTCACATTCATTCCTGGGAACTTGAGACCATAGTAACTATGGTAACTTATTCAACTTTTCTAAGCATGCGTAAAATAGGGAGGAAGGAGTAAATGCAAGAGATAGAAAGTTTTTAAAATATCAACATTACAATTAGAGCAAACCTTTCCGGCAAGCTCGGATTAACAATGGCTTCAAAAATCATCTACTAAATAAGAGTCGCTTCCTATTGATTAAATTTCTGGAAAGATAAAGTAGGAAAATTTTTCTGTGGTAAAGAAGAAGGTATGGTTTTAGCTAATTGTGCCCTAAAAATGCAAGTCCTTAAAATGTCTTGAAACTGGCTAAAACATTAGTCATGTATATGACTGTGATAAATCAGGAAAGAATATGGCACAAGGATTACCAATCTGCAAGTATGACGTCATTAATGTGATGCATTTCTGTATTTTTAACAGAAAAAGCTTCAAATTAGTCAATTTCAGGGGTAATTTTTTAGAAAATAGTGACGTGTCCACAGCCGTCGCTCACTTTCATTTTTAGGTCACCTGTGTAAACTCACGTGACCTATTGTATCCGTTTTCGTCCTTCGTGCGTCGTCCATCGTTTGTTAACATTTGAACATTTTCAGCTTCTTCTCTGAAACCGTTGAACCAGTTTCAACCAATTTTGGCATCTATGGATAAAGGGGAACAAAAATTGGGAATTTCATGGTCCCTGCCCCCCTGGGGGTGGGGCCAAAAACACTAAAACCACTAAATGTTTTCAAAATCTTCTCTTTTTTCCTGGACATCAAGCATTCAAGCATTCAAACTGTTAGTATGGTTGTAAATAGCAATAAGTCCTCTACAAAAATTGTGAAATTCATGGTCCCAGGGTCAGGGGTTCTAGTGCTAGGGCGGGACTAAATAGATTATATAGTGAAAATGCATTTTTTCTTTGAATTTCTTCTTTTCTGCTCCTGGGCATTAAATAACCTAACCAAGTGCATAGTTCGGCTAAATATGGCTGCCTCTTTCCAAAATTGTGAATATCATGACCCCAGGGTCATGGGTTCCAGTGCTAGGGTGGGACTATATATAGCGCTATATAGCTTATATAGTGAAATTGCATAAATACTTTGAAGTTCTTCTTCTCTGCTCATGGGCATTAAATAAACTAACCAAGTGCATAGTTATATTGAATAAGACTGCATCTTTCGAAATTGTGAATTTCATGGCCCCAGGGTCAGGGGTTCTAGTGCTAGGGTGGGGCTATATAGATTATATAGTGAATTTGCATAAATTCTTTGAAATTCTTCTTCTCTGCTCATGGGCATTAAATAAACTAACCAAGTGCAAAGTTCCGTTGAATAAGGCTGCCTCTTCTAAAATTGTGAATTTCATGGCCCAGGGTCAGGGGTTCTAGTGGTAGGGCGGGGCTATATAGATTATACATGTACATGTATAGTGAAATATGAAATTTTTCTCTCTCACGGTTCAAAAGTTATGGCGTAAGGTAAAGTTGATAACAGACAGACAACTTTGAAGGCAAACACAATATACTCAGTACACCTTCGATCCATAGGCGCTCCCCATGTAATTCTGTAAATGACGTATGATAAGTATATATAGGTCTACCCCTCTATACTATAAAATATCCAAGGCCTGCAACTGGGCGCCATTGTGGATTTCGCCTGGGACCTCTGACTGACTTACTTTAAGGGTTTCTGGGGTATACTGGGCTGGTTATCAGCATCGGGTACTCTAATTTATTGAAATAAAATATTTGCAAACTTTTATCCAGCACCATTCCGTTGCTTTCTCTTGTTTTCAAACATTTCTCTATTACACCGTCACACTTAGCTGATCTCGGCCGGAAGAAGTCGATTTCGTCGATTTTCAACAACTCGTACGAAAATAACTTTCGGAAGTTTGACATTATTTAGTGGGGAAAGTACATAGGCGCTTGGTTTCAGGATGGTGTATTTTGTGTATTATGTGTTTTTTGGTTTGTCTGAATACCCTGATTAAAATAAAAATGAAAACTCGCCGAAATTAGCACGTTTTAAAAATGTCATATGTACAGTATATATACACTCATAGGCACGTACATGTAGCATCGTTTTTGAAAGTGGGGGGGGGGGGGCAGCCAGAGAGAAACAATTTTTTTTTCCCTTACCTGTAAAAGTTGACGAGCCAGAAAAAAAAAAAACGCTCAAACACGAAAATCCTATTTCGGGCGGGGGGGGGGGGGGGGGGGGGGTAGTGGTCAAATTTTTTTTAAAGCCAACTTCCTTTCACTTTCATTTTTTTCCCCATACAATACTAGTACATTTTCCTTCATATCACAATACTATGGTAATAAGTGGGGGGGGGGGGGGGAACCAACCTTTCAATGAACATTTTCAATAGTAAAGGTAATGTTGGGAAAAAAGTAGGGGCGGGCAGTGCCTGTACAGCTTAAACGGACTTGTGTAGAGAAAATAAATCAGTTAGAAAAATCAGTACCTCTTTCCGAGATAATATTTTTTTATTTTCTCAAAGAGTATCACAGGGGCTTGTGTACAGAAACAAAAAATATGTACCCCAGAAAGAAAAAAAAAATTCCGAGGAATATGACATTTTTAAAACGTGCTAATTTCGGCGAGTTTTCATTTTTATTTTAATCAGGGTATTCAGACAAACCAAAAAACACATAATACACAAAATACACCATCCTGAAACCAAGCGCCTATGTACTTTCCCCACTAAATAATGTCAAACTTCCGAAAGTTATTTTCGTACGAGTTGTTGAAAATCGACGAAATCGACTTCTTCCGGCCGAGATCAGCTAAGTGTGACGGTGTAATAGAGAAATGTTTGAAAACAAGAGAAAACAACGGAATGGTGCTGGATAAAAGTTTGCAAATATTTTATTTCAATAAATTAGAGTACCCGATGCTGATAACCAGCCCAGTATACCCCAGAAACCCTTAAAGTAAGTCAGTCAGAGGTCCCAGGCGAAATCCACAATGGCGCCCAGTTGCAGGCCTTGGATATTTTATAGTATAGAGGGGTAGACCTATATATACTTATCATACGTCATTTACAGAATTACATGGGGAGCGCCTATGCTTCGATCTATTGATCCGGGCGCATAAAGACCTTTCATAAACCGATTACTTGAAATTTTATCCGCCGAAACATGACTGAAATACTGCCGACTTGGCATTAAACAATAAACAATCAATCGGTGATATAAGTAATTCCAAGAACAAGTCCTTTTGAAATGTTTAAACTACAAATCCACTGAAAGTCACTACAAGGTCTGTTATTATTTACCAGTCCATGGACCGTTCAGAATACAATAGTAGTAAGTGTGGTGTCATTTGTTTTGATTTATCTATTTTTTTTACGAGTATCTTAGGTACGAGTTAATGTGAAGGGGTTTTGGTGGAACTCTTTTGTTTTTCATGCACGCTTTTCGTTTGGCGCAGACCTGTATGTTTATACCTTCTCTTCTTTTGGTTCCCCACGGTGTAAGTATCTACATCTTTTTATATAACTATGTTGTATATGATACTGTTGTATATGCAGTTCAGTTCTATCCATTATTACCAAATATTTACATGTCATTTACTTGTGATGAGTCGTGCGGAATTTATGCACGCATACATGTGACTTGTCAATGTGTGAACTTGATCCTGATTAACTCATTATGACAATTAATTGTACTATCGTTAAAGTAATTACACTTGAATGTTATCTAAATTAACATATTAGATTTACTTGTTTACTACGGTTTAACGTAAGTGTCATAATTGTCTTTAATTCGGAGGAGTGTGTTCCTTTTATGTATTGTCATAAACTTGTGGGATGAAATCTGTTGAATATTCTGGATATAATTTCCATTATTCTTTGAGATAGTATGTTTTGTGATTGGATATTTCTTTGATTGTGAATTTATGATTGTTTATTTTTTTGTAGTGTTTTACCGCATTTCATCATCTGAAATAAAGGGGTTATCTATCTGCAAAGAATCCATCGTCTTTTTCTATGGCAGAATAGTAAAACAACCCAAATGGAGCCATCCAACGAAGCAGTCAAGGTCAAGAAGGAACCTAGTTCACACAGTTCGCATCACAGTTCGCATCATAGTTCACATCGCAGTAGATCATCGTCTTCAAGTACTTCAAAACGCGCCAAGGCTGAAGCAGCACGGGCTCTGCTCAAGTTAGCAGAAGAGGAGGCAGCCCTTCGAAAGAAGTTATCCCAGCTTGAAGAACAAGATGAAATAGACCAGGCGACTATAAAAGCCTCCGCGGCAAGAAGAAGAGCAGATTATCAAGCTGATATGGACCTACTCGCCGCCAAGAAAACAGCAGCAGCACTTGACGCAGAAGCTAAAGTCTTGGAGCAAGACTCATCCCTTACCGACTTAAGTGAATATGATATTCCAAGCGTAAAGGAGGATCCACAAACACGGACCACTGAATACGTTTCGAATTTGTGCCGGCACTTACAAACAAATGGTGACAAGTCTTACACTGATACAGATATACCACCGAATACGAACCTACCTCATCGGACAGAGTCACCAGCCTCATCGTATGTAGGGTTACCACGCACTGTGCACACATTCCAAAGTCCTAACCATGTGCAGAATGCACAACTAGTGCCTGACATTTCTAAATTTCTGTTGAGGAAAGAACTTTTGATATCAAGACTTTATCGGTTTAGTGATAAACCAGAATCTTATTTTGTCTGGAAGTCGAGTTTTCAGAATATTCTAGCAGACTTACAAGTTACAGAATTTGAACAACTGGATCTTCTTGTCAAGTGGCTCGGACCTGAATCAAGCTCCTATGCATTAAGCATCAGAGCCGCTAATGCTGACAACCCAGCGAGGGCCTTGCGCCTTCTGTGGGAGAGACTAGATGAAAGGTACGGTTCCCCCGAAAGAATCGAGAGTGTTCTAAAAGACAAACTTTCCAAGTTTTCAAAGATCAGCCTTAAAGACAGCCTCAAACTTTATGAGCTATCGGACCTTCTTACAGAAATTTCGAGTCTAAAGGAGCAACCGATGTATCAACCACTACTGGCTTACTTCGATTCTTCTGTTGGAGTCAACCCCATTATCGAGAAACTTCCCCACCACATGAAGGAAAAGTGGGTCACGAGAGCATCTAAGTACAAGGAAACAAACGGACAGTGCTTCCCACCATTCAAATTTTTCGTTAGTTTCGTGAAGGAGATGAGTCGTGTGAAAAACGACCCGAGTTTCTTATTCAGCGAAAATGTACCACAGTTAACAAAGCCAACTCGTTCACCGGCCTTCCTCCCAAAGCCTCGGTTTCCTGTTACAGCAACAAAAACTGACATTTTACCTGATTCGAAAGAGAAGATTATAATGTGTCAAATCCATGGAACGAATCATCGACTTAGTGAATGCCGTGCATTCCAAAACAAATCCTTAGAGGCTAGAAAGAACTTCTTGAAAGAAAAAGGATTATGTTTTAAGTGTTGTGACTTTGCGCACAAAAGCAGACATTGCAAAGAAAAACTAAAATGCACCATTTGTGACAGTGACAAACACGCCACGGTTATGCATGGTGACATTCCCCCTAAGGCTCATGGCGGGGAGAGCACAGTACGGTCAGGAACAAACACCAACACACAGAGAACTTCACTTGAAACGCTGACAGTAGAGTCCTCTTGCACCGAGATCTGTGGGAAAATCACACTTGGAAAGTCGTGTGCCAAAATATTACCTGTGTTTGTACATCCCAGAGAACATCCTGAAAACCGCATTAAAATGTATGCCATACTCGACGATCAGAGTAACCGATCACTTGCCAGGAGCTCATTTTTTGACTTGTATGAAATCCATTCACAACCGGAAGAGTACATAATGAACTCTTGCAATGGAAGAACTTTGACATCTGGAAGACGTGCATCCGGATTTGTACTAGAATCATGTGATCATCAAGTGCACATAGACTTACCTGCTCTCGTTGAATGTGACAACATTCCTGACAATAGACACGAGATTCCATCACAGGAAGTCACCAGGTATCATCGTCACCTGTGTGACATTGACCTTGACAGTTTGGACCATAATTGTCAAATCCTGTTGCTTCTTGGCAGAGACGTACCTTATGTGCACCGCATTCTTGACCAGAGGACTGGTCACCCTGATGCTCCTATTGGACTTAGATCTCCACTAGGATGGACTATCGTTGGTGATGTGTGTCTAGGATCTCAACATGGCCCAGTCAATGTGTACAAAACATATGTGTTGTCCAATGGACGACCTTCCCTTCTACATCCTTGCGAGAACAAGGTAAACATCAAGGAGCTGCCTTCGCCAAATATACCCTGTAGGCAATCTGTAGACTACTCAGGTCACAATGTTTTCGCACTAACACCTCATGACAATAAGCAAGGATTATCCACGGAGGATAGGGCCTTTCTACAGGAGATGGAAAAAGAGTTCAAGAAAAATAGTGAAGGGAATTGGGAAGCCCCACTTCCATTTAAGGAGCAACGGCCATTGTTACCAAACAATCGGGTCATGGCCTTGGAGAGGGCCAGGAGATTTGACACTAGTTTGAGAAGAGATCTCGTCAAACAGAAACATTTTTTCGAGTTTATGCAGAAACTATTTGATAGCAAGCATGTTGAGATTGCACCACCAGTCAAACAGAATGAAGAAGTGTGGTATTTACCCGTTTTTGGCGTATACAATCCCCACAAGCCTGACCAGATCCGTGGAGTGTTCGACTCCTCGGCTACATTTCATGGACTTTCCTTGAACAATGTCTTGATGTCTGGTCCGGACCTTAACAACAGTTTGCTTGGAGTGCTCATCAGATTCCGCAAGGAACCAATAGCCATAACAGCCGACATCCAACAAATGTTCCACTGTTTTTATGTAAGACCAGATCACAGGAATTATCTTAGATTTTTCTGGCACCATGAAAATGACGTTAACCAAGAGCTTAAGGAGTATAGAATGAGAGTCCATGTATTTGGAAACAAACCCTCACCCTCGGTAGCTACATATGGTCTACACAGAACAGCTTTAGATGCTAGAGACTCATTTGGACCTGATGTCACCGACTTTGTTCTAAACCACTTCTACGTAGATGACGGATTAATCTCCCTACCTTCTGTCGACCAGGCTGTCGATTTAATGAAACGAACACAACTTGCCCTAGCTACTCACGGTAATTTACGTTTGCATAAGATTGCCTCAAACAGCAAAGATGTTGTCCGAGAATTCTGTCCAGATGACCTTTCCAAGGAACTAAAGAGTTTGGAACTCACTGATGATAACTTACCAGTACAAAGGAGCCTAGGACTGTACTGGAACATGAACTCTGACATGTTTACCTTCAAGATTTCTTGTGAGGAGAAACCCTTAACTCGACGCGGGGTACTCTCTGTCATTAACAGTATATATGATCCCTTAGGATTTGCATCACCTGTGATAATCGAAGGGAAACTACTGCTACGTCAACTTTCTAGTGGAGGCACTGAATGGGATGTGCCACTCGGCGACCTTGAAGGACAGAAATGGCAGTTGTGGAAGGAGTCTTTGTCTGGACTTCAAGATGTATCTATTCCCCGTCAGTATGTTCCGTGTTCTCTGCAAGGAAATGTACGAAACGAACTCCATATATTCTGTGACGCGTCTGAGAAAGCAATTGCAGCAGTTGCATATTTGCGAGTGATTCGTGAGGGAGAAAGACACTATGTGGGTTTCGTTATAGGAAAGACCAAAGTTGCGCCTACTCATGGACATACGATACCAAGACTAGAATTGTGTTCCGCCCTTCTTGCAGTCGAAATTTATCAACTAGCCAAAGAAAACCTGAACATTGAGTTAAAGAGTGTGAAATTTTATTCCGATAGTAGAGTAGTTTTAGGATATATCACTAATCAGACAAGAAGGTTTCTTACTTATGTCTCCAACCGAGTTGAACAAATTCTGAGACACTCAACTCCAGAACAATGGAATTACATTCCTACGGAACTCAACCCTGCTGACATTGGAACACGGGGCTTAACGGCCGACAAGCTTCAGAGCAGTGTTTGGATTAGAGGACCTACTGAATTCCTTGAGAGACAGTCTATTGAGTCAGATAATGCTTCTAACCCGAATACTTACCAGCCTGAGGTAAATGCCTACTTGTCTGATGTCACGTCAATGCATAATTCTGAGTCGGAGTCGAGAAGTATTGCATGTAGATTTCATCGATTTTCTGAGTGGTCTAGACTTGTACATGCATTTGGAAGGCTGAAGACAAGAGCACGACAACAGAAAATGAAGAGAACTGAGGATTCATTGGTCACATTCAAGGAATCAGAAAACTTCATCATAAGTCTCGTACAGCATGACGTTTATGGAGAGGAGATACACTGTATCAGAACAAACAAACCCCTACCGAAGGGCAGTCCCCTTCAAGCATTAGGACCAATTTTAGATGAAGAAGGCATCCTATGTGTAGGAGGGAGACTCAACAAACTGAGGTTAGATGACTATGAAAAGAATCCAGCCATAATTCCAGGGTCTCATCACATTGCTACGTTACTAGTGCGCCATCACCATCAACTACTCAAGCACCAAGGACGTCACCTTACAGAGGGAGCAGTCAGATCTGCCGGACTCTGGATCACAGGAGGAAAAAGGCTAGTGTCTTCCGTTATTTACCACTGCATCAGCTGCAAGAAACTGCGAGGAAAACATGGAATACAAAAGATGGCCGACCTTCCAGCTGACAGGTTGGAACAAGTACCTCCATTCACAAATGTAGGAGTCGACATTTTCGGTCCTTGGCAAATCATCACCAGAAAGACGCGAGGAGGAAGCGCATCATCAAAGCGATGGGGAGTCTTATTTACATGCTTGGTGACAAGAGCAGTTCACATTGAGATAGTGGATTCCCTAAGTTCATCTGCATTCATCAATGCTTTGCGTAGATTTACCAGTATTAGGGGCAAAGTGAAGATATTCCGGTCAGATAGGGGCACCAATTTTATTGGAGCAACGGATGACCTTAGAATAGACACCATTAATGTGGAAGATGATAACTTAAAGACATTTCTCTATGATTCAGGAACAAAGTGGATTTTCAACCCCCCACACTCTTCACACTTCGGAGGAGCTTGGGAAAGAATGATTGGCCTTGTGCGCAACATTCTAAATGCCATGCTTATGGAACCAAGCAACCAAAATATAACACATGACATTCTGTGCACCTTGATGGCCGAAGTAACAGCGATTATAAATTCCCGACCCTTGACACCTGTGTCTTCAGACCCCAACTCTCCATTTGTTTTGACACCAAACATTTTGTTGACACAGAAACATTCTTCTGATTCTGGTTCCCTGGAGTTCGGCGATATCGGCATAAAGGACATGTTAAAATCTGAGTGGAAACGAGTGCAGGGCCTTGCGAACCAGTTCTGGAAGCGATGGAAGTCAGACTATCTTCACCTCCTTCAGCCACGCAGAAAGTGGAAGAACGAAGAGCCAAATATCAAGGAAGGTGATATTGTGCTACTTAGAGAAGACAGTCCCAGAAATCACTGGCCAATGGCAGTTGTCCAGAAAACGTTCCAGAGTGACGATTCCTTAGTCAGAAAGATTCAAATCAAATTGCTTAGAGATGACAGATCAGTTATTCTTATCAGACCAATTTGTCAGGTTATTCCATTATTAACAGTGTGAAATTAATATCTTATTTCAAGTATGTAACAGTACAAATGTACAAATTTTTTTTTATGTTTGTATGTATGGTTCTCGGCAGTTACACTTTTTCATTCATGTAGACCATTTGTAGACGTCATTATTCAGTAGTTGTGATATCTATAGATATCAGGCGGGGAGTGTGGTGTCATTTGTTTTGATTTATCTATTTTTTTTACGAGTATCTTAGGTACGAGTTAATGTGAAGGGGTTTTGGTGGAACTCTTTTGTTTTTCATGCACGCTTTTCGTTTGGCGCAGACCTGTATGTTTATACCTTCTCTTCTTTTGGTTCCCCACGGTGTAAGTATCTACATCTTTTTATATAACTATGTTGTATATGATACTGTTGTATATGCAGTTCAGTTCTATCCATTATTACCAAATATTTACATGTCATTTACTTGTGATGAGTCGTGCGGAATTTATGCACGCATACATGTGACTTGTCAATGTGTGAACTTGATCCTGATTAACTCATTATGACAATTAATTGTACTATCGTTAAAGTAATTACACTTGAATGTTATCTAAATTAACATATTAGATTTACTTGTTTACTACGGTTTAACGTAAGTGTCATAATTGTCTTTAATTCGGAGGAGTGTGTTCCTTTTATGTATTGTCATAAACTTGTGGGATGAAATCTGTTGAATATTCTGGATATAATTTCCATTATTCTTTGAGATAGTATGTTTTGTGATTGGATATTTCTTTGATTGTGAATTTATGATTGTTTATTTTTTTGTAGTGTTTTACCGCATTTCATCATCTGAAATAAAGGGGTTATCTATCTGCAAAGAATCCATCGTCTTTTTCTATGGCAGAATAGTAAGTTATTCTATATTCTCTTCATTCACATTAATTTTGAAGTGCTTTCTGTGCAGGCGGTGTACCAGGCTAATAATCAAGAATTATATTTTAATTGGCATTTTGATCTGCCAAAGAAATAAAAATCCCCGTATATCAAAGGTTCTTTTTTCTATCTTTCACAAATTATTAAATTTTAGCCGGGCTTATTGCTCAAAGAGCTATTGCCAGCTCATGTGATCCTGTTCAAGGCAGGATGTTGACCTTATAGTCGCCATTTTAAAGTTACGTGCAAAAATATTAGTTCTTACTCTCAACCGCTTTTGAGAAAATACAAACGCTAAATAAAGCAACAAAAATAAAACGAAGTTTTATCTATATAAAATAAACATTAGTAGTCATGACTTTGAAAACTTCATAAGTCAAAGAACATAGTTCATTAGCGGAAGGATTTGTTTGATAATCAGTGTTACCGTACATGTAGTTCTCTACACATACGAGGTAAAGCAGGAGAGGGAACCAGACTGGCCTGTTTGTTTACATTCAGCTGCGGTACCAGATTAATTCTGATTCTGACAAAAGCGGACCGTGGTATTAGGATTGAAAAACTCACTGTCAGTGTCTTATCATTTATATTGATAGTTTTAAAATATTTTTTTCATCAGAATGTAAACGTGATTCATGTAAGAAATCCATTCTAGGCCTACTCTGTAAGTGAGCCTGGCTCTCTGTACTTCTGAGTACTTTGATAATCTATCTGACAATAAATTAAAAAAACACCTCTTCTGGTTTGTTGGTTGCAATGACTGTCGAGTGTTTATGACTGTATTCATGAGTTTTCGTGTTATTGTCCAGAGTCATTTCGGAAGCTGGCAAAAGTAGCAAAATACACCAACTTCCTTGCAGAATGTTTTTTAAGAACATTCTGTCAACCTTCGTTCTTCAGCCACGACCCCTTGACTCCAAGTCACTTTGCGATTTTCTTGTTTGTTTTTATAAAACAGGTTTTTCACTTCGGACAAAAATGCCAACGTTTTTGTTTTTATAGAAAGTGCTCATGTATTATAAAATGTAAACCGGATATTTTTGGAATTTCAAAAGCCGTATTTCATACAACGAAGACGAGAAACAATTAATAATAACTTATTTTAAAAACTTTTTTTTCACATAATTATTGAATATTACAAACTCGTTACTAGGTCATCATTTCGGAAAGCCCAAGGTCGTCGAAAACAATTCCGGGATAGAAATGAGGGTGAATGTAGAACCCTGAAACTCGTTTAAATATTAACCAAGACTGTTATTTTTTAAATTGTAATGAATAGGACCTCGTTTTAGCTCAAGTGAGCTTTTCTGATCACCTTGTGTCCGTCGTGCATCCGTCTGTCTTTAAACTTGTCACATTTTCAAGAACCACTGGGCCAACTTTAATCAAACTTGGTACAAAGCTTTCTTTGTTACCCAAGGGGGTTGGGCGGGACCAAATTACATATTACAATAAGATACAGCATGACCAAAGCTACTGAGGTGATCGTTGTGGCCCATGGGCCTCTTGTTCTTATCTATCTTCATTGATCTGGCAAGCCCAGAAAACTACAGCATAGCCGGAGAAGATGCCATCGCTAAAAACAGTTCAACCCGGGAATTTTTGAAACAAGGTGCTCATTGGTTCTATTGATCTATTTTGCACCACGAAATTGAAATTTGATTAAAATACAGAATGCTAAAAGAACAGTAGATTCACATTTCTGAAATGTGACAGTGGTTAGAGCGTGTGCTCAAGAGTTGCAAAGTAAGGAGTTGATCTTTACGTCACGGGTTCTAATCCCACTGTGGGACGTGGTGACTGGTCCTTCGGATGAAACAGTGGGTGCTGGCCAGAAAATTTCCCTCACTGCTCAATGGCCCTGAGTGACAAGTATGACAAACGTTGTAGCTCTCCACTGGAAGTAGTGGCGTCTCCATATGAGTGAAAAATTCATGGAAGGGACGTTAAACAATTTTCAATAAATCTTAATTGTGACACACCCATTTTGCCCCAAACTCAACCCCAACCCTAATCCCACAATACGCCATCGTTTTAATAAATTATCGATTCAGCAAATTAAACCTATTGTTCAGATATCTTCTTTCTTATTATGTTATAGTCCTAGCTCACCGACTTTCTTAAAAGATAAGAGTGTGTACATATAAGTATCCGACTCTGATACATGCAGTGAGGACAGTGGTCTGAAAGTATGGCTTTGCTCCATACAAGCTGCTATATTTTTATCAACTTAAGTCGGCCGCGGCTGAAATTCGAATTTACGACCCCTGATCAAGAGGCAAGCGTTCTGACTGTGGTACTGTGAACGTGAACGCTTAAAATGAATTATTTTTACACACCTTGATCTTTCTTTGCTGTTGCTTCAAATGCTGGAGTAGCTTCACTATGAGCAGTTCAAGTAAAATCACTGATTTAGAAATTAATTGATCATCGGACAAGATTAAATTAAGTAATTTCTTCCGAAATAAGAAATAAATTGTTAACAAATTTTTCCTCCCTATTCACACAACGTATGGACGTATCCCTTTCTCCTAGTCAAAGATTGGTTTACATCCCTCAGTTGATTCGATAGGCAACAGAAGTTAAATTATATATGAGCAATTTTTAAAACGAGGTAAGTTATTGACAAACAAGTTGATGAAACATGACTGTGCAGTCTCGTTATATATGTCCAAGACATTTTCAGCAAGTATATTTCATTACCAGTAAGACAAACGCTGACTGGCGTTTTTCATACTAATCATTAAGCCTTTATTCACACACTATATTGTAGACGGATTTTCCTGTTATTTCCCAATCATGACAAAGAGCACAATACTGGTGTGTCCGGTCGGCAGGGAATTCTCACTTTTCCACCTGGTCGCACTTCTGATGTGTTAGAGGTCCCTGTTCTGCTCCCAATTTGTGTTGCTTGATTTACTTCTGAGCTTTAATACTAGTATTATTCGTTATCTCCTCATTATTTCATGAAGCAGAAGTTATTCTAAAGAAGTGAAGGGAATCAATTGCTCTTTACTTTACATTCAAGCTTATCAATCATCAATTAGAGTTATTTTTGATAATATGTGTTTTCCGTCTCAGCTTTCAATTTGAATGAAATGATTCCTTACTCGCATTCAAAAAGAACCTCCGCTTGTTACTCAATAAATCGATCATTTATCTGAATTACCATATTGCTGATCTATGATCGTTCTATTGTCTTGCTTATTGGAAACAAATATTCAACATTTTTTGGCTTATTATACCCATGGATTCTTGGCAGAATTGTATTACATTGTGGTGGACAGGTGGTCATTGTTATTAAGACCCTTGAACTTTGAGTATACATGTATTGTTGCGTGATTTTTAAAAATTAAATCAGCAATTGAAGATCAATACCTTTGGTCGTTGTGTAGGTCTTATCGCGAAGCATTCATGCATTTTAGTGTCTGACTTAATTTTGTGCTGTATATATTATATAATATTTTAATAAATAAAACTAGGCTAAATAATAGTAATTTCTAAATACATTCTCTTTTGAGAGCTAGAAGTTTGAATTTAAGCAAGCGTTTTTGTATGTAAGCAGGCCTTGGTCTGCATCAAAGATTATCATCCTTCAGTCAAAAGTTTACCTTCAAAGTCATGTTATACAAGTATATAAATTCCCGGGGGAAATGTCATTCAGCTTTGTACGATGAATGTGTTAGAAATTATTAACAAAATCAAATTACTTCAAAGAATACATACATAAAACCAATTTCCATCAATCAATTTTAACATGTATTGGAATTAATTACATTACTTTTTATGGTACACGTTTGATATAATACAGTATTATCCAATTTTCTAAGAGTACATTTATCGCGTAGTACTGTTTCTCTAGGTATGTATCTTAAAAAAGCTACACACAATATTCATGACATGATTTTTATAATTCTGAAGACTTTGAACTAAGACCATTTCATACAATCTGTGTATTTCTTGTATGAATTTCCTATAATTTATCCCATAACCACCGTACCGTTGGACAAAACAGGTGAAATTCCAAGTCCGATGCACTTACCGTTTGTCCGAGGTTTGTTTTTGGTCGGGTTTAAAATTGTGTATTTTTTATTTGATCGTATAGAATTTTGTCCGAAAGTCCTGTG